ATCATCTGAAAATAAGAATTGTTTTTTGTTTGTTGTTTTTTTCATTACCTTAGAATGAGCCAGTTTTATCTACAGTGGGAGCAGGTCCTTCAGATCCACTCTATTAAATATAAATATACATACATATATATACTATTAAATTATGGAATCATTTCAGACCCGATCAGTCTGAAGCTGCCTTTAGAGCCACAAATTTGTTCTTATCTTTCTTTATCCAACACTTTTAGATCATAAGGTTTAATGAGCATATTCTCTATAAAAAGCAATCAATGATCTTTATTTGTTTACATTCTCTGGTTTGGTCTGTGGTTCATTCTTTTTTGGGGGGCTGTTGGGTTAACTGGTGGAGGAGCTTTTTCCACAAGAACGGTCACAGTAGGTTGGCAGAGAGGACACAGAGTCACTTCTTAATTCCCATTTACAATAATAAGTCAATCCCTTCAAAATTCATACTTAGGCTCCAGATTTTTCTTAGATTCCAGAATTATTTCCGAGCACCTGATTGTGGTACTGCACAAAGACAGGAGGATTTGCTGTTCTCAGACATCCCCTTGCTGAGACATTTACCTTCATTAAACTAAATCTGCTTCTCAGCACCCCCCTTCTCCCCTCCTCCCTCTCCAACACTCCCTTGCACACAAGCTGTTTGTCTGCGTGCATTGCTTCCAAACACATTGTGCAGAGTATCCATCTGCCAACACAGACAGAAAGATGACACTTCAATCACACAGTGCAAATCCATGTCTGGTCACATGTCTTGCCACCCAGCACGCATTTGACAAATGGTAACATGCAGGAAGAGGCCAACTTCAACATCAACCCAAAGCAGTACAGCATGTTCACAGCTTGATAGCGTGGCAGCTAAATTCAGAATAAAACAACTTTAGGAACATTTCCACTGTATTAGATTCAAACTATCAACCACAGTATCATTTTTCTTTGAAGGTGGGGTCAGTGATTGTGGAAAAAGATAGCTGATTGTTCAGTCCTGGGAGCACGAACTCCACCTGTTGTGTTGTGTGGCTCGCTCCAAACCACTTTGTTTGTTTCCTATTTACCGTAACCCAAAGTGTCGGTTTGACGACCTGGGAATGAGACACAACAGTCAACTATCTTTCTCTAGAATGACTCCAGATCCGTATCTATTCAGTCTTAAATTTGCTTCTTGGTGCCACATCCATCCGTCTGGATGTACTACTTTTTTTTCCAAACTTAACAAAGTATTCAGCCAAATCCAGCCAGGTGTGACTATGGCCCATACATTTTTGCTAGATTTGGCCAGGTTTTGTGGGCTGCAGAGCTGGGCCTAATGTGTATGAGCATCAGAATAGTATAGAATAGTAGGTTTTCACATTCAAGGAGTTTGCCTTGGTATATATAATTAAACACAGCATGTGAATATAAATTAAGAAAAACAAGGACTGCAAGTAAAGAAGCATACATTTTTATTGTCATTGTTATTTTAAATGGAAACTGTACAGTTTTGTGCACAAATATGGAAGATTTTGTCCAGGGAATGTGCAAAAGATCGCAGTATTAAGTAGAAAGACTATTTTCAATGTGCAAAAATAACTTAAGTCTGTAATGCTAATATAACATGGGTGGCTGGGTGTAAGAGTCAGGGTCCCGGACTTTGAGGGGTCAGCCACAATCTTACCTTAGCTCCTGGAGGGATCGCAGATTGCAGCTAATCACCTTCTCAGTAGAGCAGATTATATGGTCCATTCTGCCCTTGTCCTTGGCAGTGGCAGCAGAACCCTTTTAGTAGCACTTGAAGTAGCTTTCAGCCACAGTTGCCCCCTATAATCAGATGAGTGTACTTTGGATATTTCTGATTCATCACTGATTCAGATTTCCTGGATCTTGACAGCTGATGGGTGGCAGATGGTTTTGGCTACTTTCGCATGAGCTCTTTCAGTTGCGGTTTATGCAAATGATGTGACAGCATTACTTATAACTCATTATTTCAATGTGTTCATCAAAACACTGACTATCTCAAGGAATTGGCCAACTCCAACACTACATTTGTAGTGCCGTTTGGAGTGTGTGGTTGCGTTATGCCAGACATGCAAAACACCTGAAAGACAGACTGGTAGCACATGAATATGCAATTAGAACTCCAAAACCACAATTATCACCTGGGACAGCACTTTAGAGATGCAGGCCACAAGGACCCACACTCACTGAAAGTTCATTTTTGAAGTAATCCCCCAACAGGACTGGGGATGGGAGGTTGGTGGTAGGGTTGGTGGTTGACAGACCTGCCCCTGGCAGGAGACCTTTTGCATTGAATCCCTCATATCTGGATCAGGAAGTTGACTTTTCTTTCTTTTCTTTTCACATTGTAAGAACTGTGCCTATTCACATTTTTGCATAAAGTTAAATAAGAAGATAGATACCTCTTGCACGTTAATTTGTTTAATCTATATACAGAAATGTAAAAGTTATTAATTGGCAAACAACAACAGGGCGCAGTGGCTTGTTACCAAGAACTAGTTACATAACTTATAAACCCATAAATTGTCATTTACAGATATGTTTGGATTGAGCCGGCTAACTGTTTTCTGCTGCTTCCAGTCTCAGTGCTAAATTAAGCTAATCATCTTACTGTAGCTCCACACTAACATACAGATATGAGATTGATATCAATCTTTTCATTTAAGTCTCAGCAGAAGAATTTTCAGAAATGTGAAATTATTCCCTTTTAAAAAAACGCAAAAAATGCTACATCAAATAGTAAACATTTTGAATCATCTGTGCTGCTGGAGAACCATTAGGTTGTTTATAAATTGGAATAATTTTAATTTCAGTCAGCCAACTCACGTTTGATATGTTTATTAAAGCAGTATAGCATATTTAGATTTTGGCGTCTAGGCTCCGACCTCATCACTCCCCGCAGATATGTTTACATAGAGATATTGGGGAGTGATAATAT